GCTTTGTCTAGCAAATCCAACAGACTCTAAACACACCTTTTCTTAATGAAAATAATACTACTGCTTCTATTAATTATTGATCCCACCTGTGCTTACAAAGATAAAGTGTGGAGATTTAGTTAACAAGTTTGTGAGGGAAATTTTTTAATAACGCTTTTTCCTTTCCACAGTCTTACTGACCTCACTGAAGGCATGATGTTCCTCTTCCAGGAGCCCCTTTGGCTTATGTGCTCCTTAGTTCAGCGATGAGAGAGAAAGGTGCTATTAGAGCTGACCTGATCTTTGCCAGGACACAGCTGCAGCAAAGTACCCAAGACATCGCTAAACAATTTAACAATTTGCTCTGCCAGAGCAGAGATGAGAAGAGCCTGACGGTGCAGGCAGGGTTATTAGGTAGGCACATTTGGTTATTAGGTAGGCACATTTTAAGACAGTCTCTTTTCCCCTACATTTTTCAATTATGTGAGCTTTGCCACCTGGAGTGTCTTGTAACACTGACTGGGACATTGCCACATTTAAAGATTATTTACCTACTATTTTTAAGGTTTCTATGAGGTGAAAAAGAGCCAGCAGCATGCACTTTGCATGGTCTAAGGATCATGTGCATTAGCCTTCCTTCATAAATGTCTTCTTGTATCCTGTGTGATCCCTTCCTTGAGATCAGGAGACACCAGCAGTGCCTGCAAACTGGTCAGCACCTTCATGCATAGGTGCAGAGCAGCCAGAATTTTGTCAGCCAATAAAAATTTTGCAGAGCAGAAGTGGTGTGGGAAGGACACAGACTATGTCCTATTGTCATGGTTTCAGCTGGGATAGAGTTAACTTTCTTCATTGTAGCCAGTGTGAGGCTGTGTTTTGGATTTGTTCCGAGGAGAAGGCTGATAAGACAATGATGTTTATAGTCGCTGCCAGGACAGTCAAGGACTTTTCAGCTTCTCTGCTGTGCCAGTGTCTGCAGGTGCAGGAGAAGCTGGGAGGAAGCACAGCCCCAATTACTGGCCTAGGATTTGACCTTAGGTTTAGGACTGAGACCCAAATTGGCCAATGGTCTATTCCATACCATGTACGTCATGTCCAGTATATAGGTAAGGCTCTGTCCAGAAGTATGCTCTCTCACTCTGGGTTGTCTCCCTTCGGGTTGCCCCCCTGTCAGGATTATCTTGGTCTCTCGGACACTCAGGCTCTTATCTCCATTCCAGGATTGCAGTTTCGGGACTCTCCCTGCTCCGGGATTGTTAACCAGGAACAGGCTGAGCCTTGGTCATTGGGTAGTGAGCAGTATCACTGTGTATCACTTATTTGTATATATTACTATTATTATCATAATTATTTTCAATATTATTGTAGTTTAGTTATTAAATTGTTCTTAACCCACGAGTCTCTTTTCCCTTTACCCCTTTAATTCTCTCCCCATCCCCAGAAAGGCGGGGAGGGTGAGTGAGCGGTTGTTGTGGTGTTTGGTTCCCAGCCAGAATCAAAACTACAACACCATTCAAAAATTTTCTAATTGTGAATTAAAATGAAATAGGAGCAGAGGGCGAAAATGGCAATGATACAGTCAGGTTTTCTTGGGAACCCAGTGTCAGAAACATCTGGATATCAATATTCACTATCCCTGGAGCCATCTATTTAAATCAGTGCCATGCTGGCCTTCTTCACCAAAGCTGAGGTTTACTCTGTATTCAGGCAAGCCCTTAAAATCTCGGGCTTCTTTGGCTAGGCATATTTGAGATGTTAAATACTGAAAAACTAGGAAACGCAGAAGTTCAGGTTTAAAATGCTTTCTTAGCAAATTTACTGTGCCAGGGGCATCACCAGACACTCCCGAATTGAACGATAGTTCAGTTACAATGTTATTGCTTTAGTTAAAGTTGTTTCCTAAGCAGTGGAGCTAACTAACCTCACAGTCCTGTGGCCTCTGGATTTGTCTCCCTGCCCGGCTGAACTGCAAAGGTCTCCAGGCTTTCCCCTTATCACTGCAACCAATACCTTCAGACCTTTCTCCTTCCAGACCTCATTTATTTCCAAAACATTTCCAGTTTCAACAACGCAACATCTAATCTGACTTCTTTCTCCCCTCTCACCTCCTGCACCCATTCATAACGGTTCCCCCCTCTTCTCAGCACCCCAGTCACCTGCCACAAACATTGGGTCCAGATCTACAAGGAAGGCACCTGAGCCACTGGGGTGTTTGCTCAGGACAGAGGTCAGCTGGGAGGACAGATGGAATGACTCACAACACAGCCGGCTCCCCAGCAGAGAGCTTATTTCTTCATGTCCGAGCTCAGCTCCCTTCCCAAATTGGTGGAAAATGCCCAAATGTTTCTGTATTAGTGGAGAGGCCATGTAAGGGTGAGGAGGTGGGAGCTGCATAATGTGACTGTATATGCTACACTTTTTGTACAAAACCAAGACAACTTCCAAATCAACCACTTACATGACTGATTTCTCATTTTTTTTCTTGCAGGAGGAGAAGAAAAAAAAAAATTAGTTTTGTTTTGAAAGGTTCAGGTCTATTTTCAGTGTGTTGTGGGGTGGACTAACTTTTCAGATTATGGCCAATGAGCATACCGGGACCAGTGTAAGCACCCTCTGCAGTGTTTGTGCTCTCCAGGGGCTCCATCTAGGAGGATGGATGAAAGGCAAAGGGAATGATCTGCTTCCACAGATTTGTTTCATGGTTTCTGGTTCTGCCGTGTGCATGTCTTTGTTTGTTGCCAGTAGGCGGGGCAAGCAGCGTACATGTCCTTTGTATTAAGCAATAGACAGACCATATGACTGCACTCCTCTTTCCTCATGAAATCAGGTTAAAAATACCTGACTGGGATAATCTTTTCTGTCAAATAATCTTCTGTCTTCATTTTATTTGAGCACTTGCAAATTTAGCTTGAAGATACTCCTTTACCTCCCATGAGGTGGTGGTGGCAGATATGGATCCTTCCTAGCAAAATGCTTAAGTAGAATTTTAACTAAAAGCTTGCAATTAGCATCATGAGTTGCTCAGCTCCTCACTCCCCTCTAAGACTGGGCTGCTCAGCTCTGCTATTTCCAGTCCCATCTGCTTTCAAGCCAAGAAGAAAGTTGTCACCCAGTTGAGGGCTCTGTCCCGTGCAACTGAAATCAGTAGGTGTTTTGTCTTTGCTTTTAGGAAGTCTATAAATGAGCTGGTAGCTCTATGCTTTGACCCCATCAATTTCCCACCTGGTGCTAAAACTTATCATTCCTGTTCTAGGAAGGATGAGCTCCTACTTTCTCTCTACCTGGCTGATATTTAGTGATATGAAGAATTGGGGAGGGGCAGGAGAGAGAAAGGAAGCAGATGAGAAAGCTCTTCTGCTGAGAGTAAATAATTTCATTTTTATTATGAAACCCTCCTAACATGCCAGAGGGTTTCAGTAATGCTTTCCACTTTGGTGACATCTTCCATCCAGAAATCTTGAGAGGAGGTAGAAACTCACACCGATTTTTAGCCTTGCTACATTTGATTCTGACAGATGTGTGCAGAAACCAATGAAAAAGAGAAAATCAGAGATTTGGCAAAGATCATTCTCAGAGTCTGTAACAGAATGAAAAGTGTTCCTCTGAACCTGCAGCTCTAGTTTCTGTGTCTTGTCTAGAAGGCCTTCATCTCACACGTTATTGTTCATAAGTCTTAATTCTAACACATGCATATGAAAGTTCAAGGGCTCTCTCCTTTAGGTAATAGACTATAAAGCTAAATACAATAAAAATCTGGCAAACAACAGACAAAAAGTACAGAAAAATTTGTTCTTCTTCCAAAGGAAGACAGCTTAAATATTGCAGAGAAAATATTCTGCCTTCTCTCTTTTTAAAAAGTAATCTTCATATGAAGAGCATACCCTATTCACCATATTGTATTCATGTATGTAGTGAAATTTCAGAACAGTCATTCTGGAAACATTTTTGTTACCATTTCAGCAGAAGGAGTGGGCTGTAATTTACAAACTTTGAGGAATTATTTTCCAGCTGTGTTTTAGTTCATTTTCAGAAAAGAAGGGATTATGTTTATATATAGAAGTCTTTATATAATTAATGTTAATTTGCACATGTTAATGAAGATGATTATTCGCAGAGCATTGTAGTTTTGAAAAAAAACAGATGAGTTGAATATAATTCATCCCTATTTTTTTAAGCATTAACAATTGTTTTACTTGAGGGTTTTTAATGAAGCCAAGGCATGATAACAGATTCTTAAGTGGGCTTTAGCTGCCAAATAGCTTACTGTATTTTATTTTACATATTGGTAGCACTCAGTAAAATAACATTAAACATGACTTGCTACTAATAAGTCACTGTGAAAAATGACAAACGTCTTTTTGGCTGGAAATTAGTTCACAGCAAAATATTCAGTAAGACTGACCCATCGTTCACGGGTTCACAGCTTCTAATATCTCTCCTATTTTCTGCATTAAGATAATGATACCTTCTCCTCTTGGGAGAAGAGCATATACACATGCACATAAATACCTAGTAGGAGAAGGGGCTGGCATTGTCCATTTCATACACCACCTGCAAGTTACAAGTTTTCTACTCTGCATACAGTAGTACTTCTAGACAGTAGTGACTCATGTAGTGACCACATGCTTGTAGAGGTCACCAAACTCACCACAGGAGATAGAGGTGCTTGCGTGGGGGCATTCATATTTTCCTAGACGGAACAAATCAAGTTCACCTCAGCAACAGTGCAAGTGCTGAGTGAACTGTACAGAACTGGGTTTACTGGATAACATCTCATTCCTTTACTGACTTTGTCCTCTTGTGGAGCCAGCACATATAAGTTAGTATGTTGAGATTCATCCCCTTCTGGGTAGCGACAGAAATGTTTGCTAAGTTTCAGTTAGTAAAAAATGTGCAATTGTCTTGGTGACAGTAAAGGACTGAAGCTACTGGTGTCATTGAGGCACTCATTTGAAGAGCGTACAGCTGGCACAAGGACCAGTGTCTATTTTGTCTGCAGGATGTCTGCTTTTATTGTTGAGGAATAAGGGACACAGGTTCAGTCTCTGAGAAGCAGATCAGCTTCAAAAAAACCCATGAACTAGGCAAATCTGCTCTGAAAACCATTAGAGTCACTAAATATTGGACCATGGCATTCAGTAGTTTCGGGTAGAACCACACTGACAAGAAATCTTTAATCAGGTATGATGTCTTTACAGAACTTGGCAAAGGTTTCTTCTGCCATTTGTGTTCTGCATAGATCACATACGATGGTACAAGCCTACCTTACTTTGTTACAATATTGTATTTCAGTTAGCATCAATTAGCTGCAAGCCAACAAACAAAATGCTTGATTCACCATCCTTTTAAAACACACTTGCTGGAAGATGACTCTGTGCTTTCATTCACAGGAGGAAACTGAGTGTCCTTCATCTCTCTCTGTTATCAAAGAGATGACAGCAGGTGAAGCTCTACAGGATGATTTCTTCCCACCTGATGATCTGTCTTCTGATGAAGAATATTATATCGAAGAAAGCAGAGCAAGCCAGTTCAAGAAATCAGGCATGAGGCGCATAGATGATATCAAAAAGGCATTTTCAAGGGAAAATATCCAAAAGACAAGACAAAATTTTGGCAAGAAGGTAAACAGGCTTCGAACTAGAATAGTGACCCCTGAGAGAAGAGAGAGGATCAGGCAGTCAGGACTGAGACTGAAACAATCTGGGATAAGGATCAAGAAAACCATTTCACAAGCTGCTCCAACGAAGGAGACGTTCAAGATCCATAAAAAAAATAAAGAACGAACAGGAGCCGAAGGTCAGGAGGGGATCCAGGAAGCCGGTGCGCACATCGCCTCTGAGCTCGCAACCACAGAGCCCTTCACTGAAGAAATCTCTTACACAGAAGTGATCACTAAGGTAAAGAAAGACAAGAATAGTGCAACAAAAGGTGCTTCCCAATCAACTGACAAAGGAGTGACAATCCCAGAAGTGGTTCTTAAGCAGGAAGGAAAGGAAGGAGGAGATGATGATGTCCCTTTGCTGGACTTAAAGCAATCAGCATAAGGAATCAGTCAGCAAACACACATACTGTCCTTACTGAACAAGAGATAACACAATATGAATTCACTCCGCTTTAGAAAAATGTGTGAATTTGTGTTCTATCACAAAACATGTGTCTGTGGTGTTCTATCATTTAAACGAGTGTCTGTAGTGTTGTCTTCCTGACAAAAGCCAAGCCATGCAAAATGAGTGAAGGGGCTTCCCTCCCCCCGCCCCCCGCCTCACAGTGTGCCAACAGCCATCATTAACCCAAATGGAACTCACATGTCAAAGGGAGATGGAAATCTGCTCTGTTTTCAAGACTGATTTAGCAGTCACTTAGCAGCCTACTCACTCTCTTTAGTTTTAGGTACAATAGTACAAAAATTATTTCCATTATATTATACCAACTCCTCTAACCAGAAAACAATAACAAAGCTGTAACAAAGCTGTTACTTTGTATTAGCAAAAGGAAGAACTATGGAAAATATCCATTTAGCAATACAAATCTTTTTGTTTAAGGGCACCGCACTGAAAGAGCAGAAGGAGGAATTTCCTGCTTTATCCAGGTTGTGGCAAAATGTGGCAGGTACAATAGGTTTCTGAGTAAATTGTGTTTCTTCTCAGTGGAAAAGCAAAGCTCCTGAAATGACTAAAGATTATTTGCAGAGTTCTGGAAGAGGAAGGTTTGATGTACGTAAGCAATGCATTTTCTGCACTTAGGGAGTAAGAATAAAAAAGCAGAAGACATTAAACATGGAATAGCAGGAGGAAAAGAGAATGAAGTATCACATTCCTGTTTTGGAAAGATGCAATTGTGAGAAAGGTAAGGGTATGAAGCAGTAAAAGAGGAGTAAGATTAATGCATGGGTTCTGGATAAAGAGAAAAAAAATTAAAATATTGTAACTGAAGTTTCCTCAAGATCTTTTAAAGAATTGCTACTGTATCCAGAGGATCATAGGGCTCCTGAACATGACAGAACAGGCAAGGGAATTGTTTTGTTTTCCATTCTCTGTGCTTTTTCTGAACTTCACTGCAATTAAAATCTATTCTACAAAGCCACAGAAGTGCAGGGCCAATCCATAACCTAATTCTTTGTTTTCTATCATCATCATTATCGACCAGTCACAGCCTCAGGGATTATGAGACAGACACCCTTTGGAGTATGGAATGCTGTTTATTTCCAACACTCAGGAGGCAGTGCCCTGACATCAGATATGTTTGTAAACATGGCCGCTATGCTGACATGGGGTGCAGGACTGTATTGCTGTCTTCATTCTTAAATGGAGTTGCCTTCAAAGCACTTACCTAAAGCAATGTTAGTCATTACTATCTGTGTGAAACTTGTACAATATTGCCAAAAGCTGTATGATTGTATTTAATGTCTCAGATTCATTTTAACAGCAGAGCATAACTTGGTTATCTATATACATTGTTTGAGGACTCACAGATAATTGCTAATCTATAACTTAAATATAGTTTGATTTCAAATGTTCCGCCTGCCAGTTCTTTCATTTAGCCTGGTGTGTGTCACATTTGAAGTGAAACAGCTTTAGCCATAGTAACTAGGGAATGCTGGCTGGGGAAGGTCAATGTTATACAATGTCAGTGGTTTCAATACAGTGTCAGTGATATTTCAGATCAAATTAATGTTGTCAGATTGGAAGCAGCAGCTCCACTGAATGGAAGGGCAGGATAGAGCAAGAGAGGGAGATAGGGAGAGGAAGACATTTATTTCAACAGTAAATTGTACATCTCCACTGTACTGTAATTACAAGCAAAAAGAAAAAGAAAAGGTTTTGCTTACATGATAAGGTTGGAGCTTTTGTTTGGTTGTTTTTTTTACTAGTTATAGAAAGTCTTTTCTGGAAGTCTTTTCTGGAACCAGGTGACTGCATGTTTTTCTTACAGTTCTGTATAAAACTGTTGCTACCTTCAGTGAAATACTGTGTGATTTGTCTGGTCCCTCTGTAGTACGCCGTGCATTCTGTTCTGCAAGACTTGATGTTTTTCTAAACTGACAAACAGGGTTCAGTCATTGAAATGAAAATGTCAAAGTTCAAAGAAGCTATTTCTTTGCTTTTTCATACAGCAGAACACTTAAGTGCTAGAACATAATTGCCTGTAGATTTTCTTTATACAACATTTCATTTTCTCATTTTACTTGAAAAAGAAAGGAAGTGATGCAGTTTCCATGAGCTTATCATGTAGCACTGCATATAACCTCTATCAAATATGTATTTTTAATGTTTACTTGTAACTCCTATTGTTCAGAAGATGATTTGTTTTCATAGCAAGCAGTGAGTTCTTCAGGTGTGCCAAGTTTTTCAATGTATGTTCTTCATTTTAAGTTATTATCAGTGTTACTGACTTGAATTTTACATGTACCGAGAGATCAAAGTTAATTTATCCATATCGCCTCATATAGGTAGGGGATGGGGAGAACACTACACTTGACCACCTGAATTTCTATACAGCAGCGCAGCCTTTTGCTGCTTGAAGTCCCCCTTATCTTTTGTAATAACTTCCAAGAGCAACAATCTTGAAGTCCAAACCTTCACCCTTCTCAGAAACAAAATTCTCAATGAAATTGGTTGTTGTACAGCTGCACTGCAGGAAGGCCTGGTGTATATTTTTTGAACAGCTGGTTTCACTTGGTAAGATAACCTTGCCGGCACTGCGTGTGAAACAAGTGCAGCTCCTGGCTCAGTGGGAGAAAGGGACCCTGTCCCTTTCCGCTCTGTTTTCAAGAAGAAATCTGGCACTTTCTGCTTGCTTGTGGGTGGGAGTGTGAACATTAAACTTCCTCATGGAAAGAGCCCTGCAATTGCTTACTGCAGAGTAAAACTGGTTATGGGAAAGGATGAACTACTTTCTTAGACATCATCTGAAAACAAATTGAAGTGTTTATACAAAAATTTAAAGTGTTTACAAGGAGAAAAGAAGTGATTAACAGAGCACTCACCGCAAGCCCTTCTTTCATAACATCCAACAACAATTTCTTTTGCTTTGAATTTGTGCTAGTGAAAAAAGCCAAACACGTTTTCTGCCAATAGCTATCTGTCTATTAAAAGAAAAGTAGCAATCATTCTTCATTCAGTTACAGGGAAGGCAGCAACAGTGGTAACAAACAAAAATTACTTCAACCATTTCAGGTGACTCTACCCCCAGAAATGCTTATGTTACTTCTACTTTTTTTTTTACCTAAACTGATGCAAATTACAGAATAAAAAGCAGTTAAGAAGTTTGAGTTTGGAGGATTCAGGTACTAACACCAATACAGCGAATGCTAATAGAGCCAAACCGGTGTTCAGATGTCTTTACTCTGAGAAGAGTTTCAAAACTTCTTCCTCGCTAATAATGAGGGGTGTGCACATCTTCCTTATAATGGGATATAGGTTTAGAAATTAGTTAGTATATGCAAAGGCCACTACTTGTGCAAAGATAAACTTGCCTGCTTGCACACCTTCTTTGATTATTAGCATTGTGGTGGGTTAGCCCTTGGCTCG